AGAATGAAAATGGAGTGGGAGTGAGCGCTGGATGCAGAGGTTTATCGACCAATTCCTTTTTTCCTATCTCTCTCTCTCTCTCTCGTTCTTCTTTTTCCTTCATATTTATTTTCAATTCATTCATCAGGTTTGGGGAACAGATCGATGAACCGCTGCATCCAGTGACGCTCTACCAAACACATAAACGATTAAATGACGAAGAAACATTAAAACCGATTGTTAATCAACAAGTAAGAACGATCTTACCAAAATGAACATGTATAGCATAAATAAAACCAGCAAAACGTTAATTATACCATCAAACCTTAGCAAACTCAGATCCGTATTGAATCACCATAGGTTACGTTCATAAGGAAACAAGAAATATGATATGAGAATCCGCCATTAACGTACTTTGTTTTGCTCTCCGTCTCTGTCGCTCCTTTTGACTATCTCTCTCTCTCTACTTTGTATATCTAAAAGGCTGTGAGAGTGGTATTGCTATAGTTACATATACAGGCAGCGCTGTGACAGTGACACTTCAGTTCAACTTTTTTTAGTGTTGTTTTACATAAAGGCCCTTGTGTGATGGTGGATGTTTGGGACAGGGACAGAAGGGTATTATGGTCAGAAAATGGAGTTTTCTGAAAAGAAACGTGACCTGGGTGTGTGAAGAGGTCCCCGCGGTATTTCAAATTAAGGATCTACACGTGTAATCATTCTAACCCATCTTCTTTTATTTTATACGATTTGCGATTTAAATTCTAAGTTTTAAGAATAAATATTTTGGTGGATCTAAGATTTTTGTTCAGTAGAGTCACTTTTAAGGTAAATTAAATGTTTGTAAAATCGTTTGATGTGTTTTTAACCTAATTACAACATTTTTAGGGATTTTTAAAGTTTTTTGGTTAATTTCGAATTTTTTTAGTGTTTTTGTTGATTTCGAATATTTTTTTGGGTTTTTTTGATTGATTTTAATAGATTTTTTTTTTGTTAGAGTAATGGTTCTGGTTGAGATTGGAGGCCCGTGGGAAAATGTAATGGGGGAAATGAAAGGTAAATCATGTAAAACCTAAATTTTAACCTAATTTTTTTTTTGAGTTTTTGATTGGGGTCCCCCAAGTTTCAAGAATAAATATTTCACCAATTCAAACAGTGACGGATCCAAGATTTTTGTTCAGTGGGATCACCTCTAAGATAGATTAAAGGTCCGCAAAATCGTCTGATGCGTTTTTAACCTAATTACAACGTTTTGAGAGATTTTTAAAGTTTTTTGGTTAATCTCGAATAATTTTTTAGTGTTTTTTTTTCAATTTCGAATAATTTTTTTGGTTTTTTTGATTGATTTCAATAGATTTTTTTGGTTAGAGTAATGGTTTCGATTGGAATTGGAGGCTCGTGGAAAAATGTAATGGGGGAAATGAAAGGTAAATCATGTAAAACCTAAATTTTAACCTAAATTTTTTTTTTTGAGTTTTTGACTGGGGTCCCCCAAGTTTCAAGAATAAATATTTCACCAATTCAAACAGTGACGAATCCAGGATTTTTGTTCAGTGGGATCACTTTTAAGGTAGATTAAAGATCCGCAAAATCGTCCGATGTGTTTTTAACCTAATTACAACGATTTGAGGGATTTTTAACGTTTTTTGGTTAACTTCGAATAATTTTTTAGTATTTTTATCAATTTCGAATAATTTTTTTATTGATTTCAATAGATTTTTTTTTGTTAGAGTAATGGTTTCGATTGGGATTGGAGGCCCGTGGAAAAATGTAATGGGGAAAATGAAAGGTAAATCATGTAAAACCTAAATTTTAACCTAAGACTTTTTTTTGAGTTTTTGATCTCTCTCTCTCTCTCTCTCTCTCTCTCTGAGATATAAATTAAAGGGTGTTAGCAGTTCGATACAATCCGGTTAAAGTGGTTCAATTCAAAATTTTAAAGGTGCTCCAGAGAGCATATATTCGGAAATTCTACATCATCAATTCGGGATATTAAAATAAATTTTGATGATAAAAACTACGTCCACATGTCGTTTTTTGACTAAATATAATTGCTTTTTCATATTAAAGGGACAATGCTTCATATAGAACTTAAATAAGTAGGTTACAGGTAATAGAACTTGATAAAAACAAAAATTCTACCAAAAAAGCATGTTTCAGTGACATTCTTTATTATCCAAATACCCATATGTAACGTCTCATTAATAATGACAAAAAACCAGAAGACCCTATGAATTTTGAAAATTATTCTATAAAAAAGTAAAATATGTTCATTGCTCCATCTCCATCCAAAGCAAATCGTCCACTTCAACCTTCTAATATCCTCAGAAGTCATCTGAATGGACTAAAACAAACGTAAATTGAACCTGTAATCTAGATCATTGCAATTTTTTAGGAGTCTATCATCTTTTAAAATCCATATAATCCTCCTAGTCGCATAACGTCTGAGTCCCCAATCAAACTAAGAACCCAAGTTAACTTGATTGATCAACAATTTATGGCATAGAAATATATGAAAGGATGAAGCATGGTTTGTGTACATCGGTTTTAAGGATCAAATGATATTTTAGAACTTAAATAAGTAGGTTACAGATAATAGAACTTGATAAACCATTCTATTTGATTCATTTCATAAAAACAAAAGGGCGCGCCAAATCATGAACCATCGCATAAGCAACTTAGGATAGGGGCATTTCATCGGCAGGATAGATCAAGAAGCTCTAAAGTACTTCCCAGGTTAAAAGGTTACTATCATCTAGCAGATTGAAGTGGCTTACAAAACTGTTGGGTCAACCTTTAACCAAAATGCAAATCTAGAATATTGTAAACAAGCATTGTCAATGGACGAATTTTAACCATTAAAGAGAAGCAAAAACCCAAAAATAAAAAAACGATAAGTGGAAAAAAATTACATACCACCACTCAAAAGAAGATTTGCCTTCACAAAACCACCTTCCGAACTTCCTTTGCTTATCAACAATCGAGAAGAAACAATTAAGAGGGAATGGACTTTCTTAGGAGCGGATGCATTTCTTGGGAAGCAGGAATAGCATCGAGACTCGAGAGTAGAAAGAGTGTTGTATGACTCGAAAAAGAAAAGCTGTCATCTAACCAGCAAATGCTTTCACGGCAGGATGCAACAGAAGCAAGGCGCTTTTCCGTCTGAAGAAGGGCCATGGCCAGGGCCGGTCCTAAGATTTTTGATGCCCTGTGCGAAAATAATAAAATATGCCCCTAACCCTATTTTTTAAGTCAATGAAACAACGAAACATGCGATTTTTTAAAAGAATTTAGAACCTATTCAAACAAAGTATCTCATCCTCATGTTGATTTTTATTAATTATAATAATAAAAAAATACAATGAGAAGAACATAAAAACCAAAACCTCGAATACAAAATATAAATGATAAATCCTGGATTAAGATCATGCTTCCTTCTTTTCCAGTTTTACCTTTTCCAAATTAAAATTAGCAAAATAGAAACTTTATTTCAATATAAGGGACTTAAAAGACAAGAAAAACCATAATTGGTTTTTAACTAAGATAGTAAATTACATCCAAGTTATTGTCATAGTATGCAAAAAGTAAAAAACTCAAAAGTTACAGGTCTAATAACTAAAGGCTAAGGGCCTATCTGTTAGCAACTTAATAAGTTTAATGGATCTAACAGCTTATTCGCTCAACTATGCATGACTGTTTCGTAGTGGCTTAATGATATAGAAAGTGACTTATCCAATAAGCTTTTAGGAGGAGCTTTATATAGAAAGCCAAAAAAAATTTCCAAACATGTCCCTTTCAACTAAAAAAACGCTCCTTACGTTTGTGAAAAAACTCTCTCAAACAAAAACTTTTCCAACTTATACAAACAAATTAATTCATACAAACAAAAACTTTTCCAACTTTCCAACTTTTTCCAACGATGTGCATTCAGTATTCATCACTACTAGGCCTTGGGCCTATTTTTATAGTTAAAGCTCAGTTGCTCAATTACCAAATTATTAAACCCAAAACTAGTAATAAATGACAACTTGATGCCCCTTTAGGCTTTGATGCCCTGTGCGACCGCACGGGCTGCACGTGGCCAGGGCCATGGCGTCCTCCATTAGGCCTAGATGACAACATGCTTGACCAAGAACCAAGTACTTGAAAACGTAAGAATTAGTCGGTCATAAAACAAAGAGATTTGAGCTTTTGGGTGTTTAAAAACCCAAAATTGCTTGAAAGTTCAATAATTAGGGGGTTAGCATTATCTAGAAGGCAATGGAATGTGTAACACCCGTAAATTAGTAGATCAACAATTTTACCCCTGTTTACTCTATTGGCTACTTTAGCCCTTGTTTCTTTCTACACTTGTCAACTATGTCCCCTTATTAAAACATTCTTTATAATTCAGTCCAATTTTTTGGATGGTAAATTAAAAGATCAACAATTTAAACATACCAAAATAATTTAGGGGTTGTTTGTTTACCTTTTAATAGTTCCATTAAGAGGCAACGTCTGAATCGTTAAGAGTTGAATCTTGTTTGACAAAAAAAAAAGTTTGCCTCTTAAAAGTTCTAAAACCCTCTGAATGATTTTGTATCCTGGATCTCCCTTAACCATTAAGAGCCATAATTTTATTGTACACAATTACCAAACAATTATATTTCATTTTGTATTATATCATGACAACCTCTTAATCATTCTGACCACTTAATCATTCTGCACCAAATCATTCAGCAATTGTCAAACAATCCTTTAATAATTTAATAAAAAAGAAAAAGAAGGAAAAAAAGGAAAGCTTAGCTCGGAAGTAGGAAGCTAAAAAAGGTTGCTTCTATAGAAAGCAAAGGAATCCATGTTAAATAAACATCAACTTTACCAACACTTTCCATGTAGTTTTCGACTTGTTTACTTTGAGTTGCATCTCCAAAAACCCAAAAGCATATTCATACGCATCACCATCTTGTACTTTATGCATAAACATTTGTACACATGATCCCGTTATATATAAACCACATCTAGTTGCATAAACCAACTTCATGCAACTTAATAATGGCTACTACATTATCAACTCCATTGCCTCAAGAACAAGAACCCATGGTGCAAGATGGTCAGGCGGTGCAGTCATCGGGATCCATCGGTCCCTTCTTTGCGGTCATGTCGGTGATGATGGTCATTGTGATTCTTTCGTGTGTGGTTGGAAGGATTTATAGCAGACGGGAAGCGGAGGCACCGTTGGATACGGTTTTGAAGCGTAGAGATTATTTTGGGTGGTTGAAAGGCAGATTAGGGCGATGGTGGTCGGCGCATGGTGGTGATAGTCACGTGATTACACTTGCCGGAAAAGGGGCGGCTGAAGACGGCCGTGTATAGACGATAGATACATTTCTTTTGGTTATGGTGCAGTTTGTTCATTAGGTACAAATTGTAATCAAAGTGGTTAACGTTTTCGAGTAATTTTTCTTTTTTATAATCGTGAATATTTGAATCAGTCTACGTGCATCTTAATTAATATTGTGGAATATTAAGTTAACAAATAGACGAACCTCTAGTGATCGTTTATTAAACAAAATACGGATTTAGAAAACATAGAATATTTTGTATAATGATTGCATTAAAAATTTTGTATAAAAATAAAATACGGGAAAATGATATATATATATATATATATATATATATATATAGACGGGTTAAATTACAAATCGCTTGATTTGTGAAAATTATGCAAACCACTCTCGACCAATAAAAAATTTCCGTTTTTTATTTTTTAATTTTAATAAGTAAGAGTATAATTGTCATTTTACCATATAATGGTTAATATTGAAAATGATTTAATTATTTTTAAATATGAAAACGTAAATATA